TTGTAATAGCAATATCAGATTGACTTCATTTCTTGATTCTGAATCTTGGACCTAGTTGTGGTTGGGAATTCTACAGTGTGTCTTGTTAAATGCCCAAGTCAGGAAGCTTTTGTTATCCAAAACCTCTTTATAGCTCTTGGTGATTATATCTTGGATGAGAGACAAGGAAGAGCTCTCAAACTTTCACCAGAGCATCAGCAGACACCAGGAAAATGTGCCCTGTGAACACATCCCCTCAGAGCCCACTGGCAGCGGAGACAGATGTGATAGATCACGACTGCAGGGAGCTAAAGGTAAGTACCACCAGAGAGAGAAGGCCGAGGAGTTTGTCATGTCATCAGTACCCACCCTTCTGCCTGCAGCCTCATGCAGTTTTCTGGCTTCTGTGGTTTTAAACCATTTTGATTAGTACCACGGGGAAAAGGCCATTTCTAAGTCTCTTCCATGGTTTATGACTTGGATCAAACTCTCTTAAAGAGGTATGGTTTTTTGGTGACAACTGCTTCTACTTGGGATGGAACTTCAGAGCAATATTGAACAGTCATTGGGTGGGAGGGTGGGGTGTGGGGGGATCCACAGTAGGCACCAGGCTGACAGCTAGGTGAGAAATGGGTGAGGACACTGGTGGTTTCTCTCCTACTTTAACATCCTGCCACTCAAGTCAGCACGGTTTTTATCTCCATCGTTTCCAAACATTTTTAGCTGTACAAATTTTGTTTAAGCAAAGCACATATAGAACCCCACCCTGCAAATGTGAAAAGGCCCTGCTTCAAGAGAGGGAGGGCACCTGGAGTCCTGTCTGCTCTTGTGCCGTCTTCTCCATCTCTTAGAACCTTGAAAGTCATCAGGCACGATTTGAAAACCCCTGGGGTTGTTTTGAAAGACACAAGCTTTGGAGACCATTGAAGTCAGATCCTGGCTCAACACTTCATTTCCCTTCTCTTGAACCTCTTTTTCTTTTCCTTTAAATAAAATATACCAATATCTTTTTATAAATATTAAATCCTAAACATATAACTTATAATAAACCATGAACAATGTGTGGAAAGTGTCTGGCCCCCTTGAGTGTAGGTGTTCAATAAATAACAGTTTGATACAGGCCTCAAACAAGACCCCCTTGCCGGGGCTGTGGGGGGTTCAAATATGAATAAGAGACTTCACAAAGCTGAGGGTCTGTTCCTTTCTCTAGGACGCGTTAGAGTAAGAACTATAGATGAGGAAACAAACTGCCGTGGGAAGGAAAAGGAGGGAGTGAGCATTTCTGATCCGACTTCCCATTGCCTACTCAGCGTTATTTTGCACTTCTTCCTCTGTAATAGCAGCCCTAATTTCCATCTGGAATCACAGTTGCTGGGAATGAAAACGACATTTCCCAGCATCCCTTGCAGCAAGTGGCCATGTGACTAAATTTTGGTCAATGAAATGTAAGCAGTAATGAAATGTAAGCAGAAATGGAAACCTCTTTCAGAGACACTGGTGCTTTATCCTTCCATCTTCCCCACCCACTTCCTCTGTCTCACTGCTGAGAATGTGCCTGTCTGACTGGCTGTTTCTGGTACCTGCAGTTGTATTTAGCATCCTGAAGAAGGCACTGTTAAAAAAGGGAACTTGGGGGAATTAAAGTGTTAATAGATGTACAAAGGATGAATAATTTCATTTTTCTTCAATGTATCACAAAGCCTCAACAGTGAAATTTAACTGATACATCATGTAGCAGGTTTTCTCCAAAGAGGTTAGGTGGCTTTGTGATTTTAAACATCCCACAGTCCCATGGTGGGGGTCCTGCTGATTATGGACAACTGGATTTCAGGGTCTCGGGCAAAGTTCCCTCTAATATTTCTTTTTTTTTTTTTTTTTTGAGACAGAGTCTAGCTCTGTTACCCAGGCTAGAGTGCAGTGGTGCAATTTCTGCTCACTACAACCTCCACCTCCCAGGTTCAAGTGATTCTCTTGCCTCAGCCTCCCAAGTAGCTGGTATTACAGGCAGGCACCACCACGCCCAGCTCATTTTTGTATATTTAGTAGAGACGGGGTTTCGCCATGTTGGTCAGGCTGGTCTCAAACTCCTGACCTCAAGTGATCCGCCCACCTTGGCCTCCCAAAGTGGTGGGATTACAGGCATGAGCCACCATGCCTGGCTGGTTCTAATACCTCTAAGTTATTAAAAAGACAGCCAGTATTCAGGGTACAGTTATTGATGTTCTTGGGATGAAAGGCAGCAGGCACTGGTGGACTCTGTTTCTCTGATCTCATCCCAGACCCTGAGAGGCAGAAGGGCCTGAGCTAGGGGGCCTCTCCTGGGGTGTAACTAGGCTCCAGCAGAGAGGGCCTTCTCAGAGCTAGAGCCTGAGGAAGGGTCTGGGCTGCCCCTCGGCCAGTTGTCTGGCAAGATTACTCAGACTGTCAGGGCCTGATTCCAGGATGATATGAGTTAGCTCTGTGTCCCCATCCAAATCTCACCTTGTATTGTAATAATCCCCATGTGTCAAGGATGGAGCCAGGTGGAGATAATTGAATCATGGTGTCGGTTTCCCCTATACTGTTGCTGTGGTAGTGAGTAAGTCTCATGACATCTGATAGTCTTATAAAGGGGAGTTCCCCTGCACAAGCCCTCTTACCTGTCACCATGTAAGACTTGACTTTGCTCCTCCTTGCCTTCTGCCATGATTGTGAGGCCTCCCCAGCCATGTGGAACTATGAGTCCATTAAACCTCTTTCCTTTACAGATTACCCAGTCTCAGGTATGTCTTTATTAGCAGCATGAGAACAGCCTCATACACAGGAGAACAAAGGACTGGGATGGGGATGAAAGTAAAGGACAGGAGGACATCCTAGGGCTCAACTGGAAGGAGGCATGAGGGGCTGGGGAAGGGAACTATGCTGAGGCCATCTGAAGAGCCCTGGATTCCCTGGCCCTGGGTCACCAGTTGGACTGAACAGGGCAGACTGTTGTCGAGTGAGTGATAGAAGTTCTCTCCAACCAAATCATGCCTCCCTCTTACTGCTGGAAATCCTGCATTTAAGACATAGGACTGAATTTGTACCAATGTGCGTGGGAGAGAGTAAATATCTCCTTTTTAAAAAGTGGGACACTCTGGGATTATGAGTCAGTTCAATCAGCATGGTGTCCTGTGATCACCACCCCGAGAAAAGGGGAATTGGGCTGAGGAGAAGAGGGTGAGAGAAAGAGACATTTAAATACCAGAGGGGCATAAGGATGAGTGTTTTGACAAGACAAGGGGACACCATGAGGGCACAGACATGATGCATGTTTATTGAACACCTACCACATGCCAGATATTATGCTAACACTGAGGACAAACCTATGAAATCAAGGCTGCCCCTGGTTTACTTTACAGTGTTGGTTTGTGCCAGATCATGTCCCTTTCTCTTGTTCTTAGGAATCAGATGGAACAATGTTGCTCTCCTTTGGAAAACAGGGCTCTGCTCACTTAATCTGCCTAGCTTATGGTCCTGTGTGATAGTGTTGGAAACTGGCCTGCAGGGCATCTCTACATTTGGCAAGAGCTGCCATGGAGACAGAATCTGTGCTCTACCCCTCAACAGCTCTCCAGCAAGGGACCCCTTCTCACCTCTCCATCCTTGGCCAGGGGAAGCTGGTCAGGGCCATGCTTATCTGGGTTGGATGAGTCTCTTGGAAGGAAATGTGTGGAGGGTCTTGAATCATACAAAATGGCTCATGTGTGTGGCTTGTTGGGGTCACTGGTGGAAGGGTCCTGGGTTCAGGGGAGAAATGTGGCTTGCCACAGAAGACAGGGCCTGCCCACTGAGGTGCCCACAGGGTGGCAAGATGAAGACTCCCAGACTCCTTGGCCTGGGGCCTTCTTTCTTCAGCAGTTCTCAACTGTGGAGCTGATGGGCTGTGATCTGTTAAGGGATATGTTAAAAAGATCTATGCTGTAACTACTAGCATTTATTGAGCTCTTATTACAACCTAGTCCTCATACTAAATGCATGTATGAACTCATTTAATCCTCCCAACAATCCCATGAGACAGGTGCTGCCATTATTATTGTTGCAATTTTATAGGTGAGAAAACCAAAGCACAGGTAAGTTAAGACTTGCAAAAGGTAGGCAGAAAGCAGCAGATCCAGCATCTCAGCCCTGGCTGTGTGGCTGAAGTCCCAGTGATTATCCACTATACTCTATGGCCTTTATGCACTATCAAAATACTGAAGCTTGAAAATTATTTTTTCAAACATCAATCAGAAGGGCCTTAAGCTATTACTTTAATCCTTTATCCCTCATAGTGCTTCTGTAGATTGCAGTCCAACAAGCTTTCTTTAGTGGACAAGACAGATGTGGCATTACAACCAGCATTGGGGGAATTCTGCCTACCTCTGCTTCTAACCACGTATTTGTATCCTGAAAGTGACACCTGCTATGCAAGAGACAATTCTTTACCAAGGTCTGGTTCTCCTTTTTCCTGGGCAGAGCTAACCTACAGCTCCCAGAGTCCCTTATAGTAAAGTGTGGCAAAATGACCAGCTTTTGCCAATAAGATGTGAGTGGAAGTAATGAGCACCACTCTCAGACTGCAGGGAAGCGCCTGTGCCTTCTCCATCCCTTCTTTCCCTTTCTAGTCCCCAAATGCATGGGGCCTGAAGGCTGTAGAGGGTGGCAGAGCCACAAAATAGATGGAGCCTGTGTCCCTAAATTGAGATGCATCCATGAATCAGGAACATTTGCCTTTGGCTCTTGAACAAAAATTTCTATGGTATTTGAGCCTGTGTACATTTTGGAGTCTATGTATCTTGTGGCCTACCCTACCCTAATACATGGTTTTCTTTGCTTATCAAAGGTTGAGTTTGGCTGTTTTTGAGAACTTCAAGAATCCATGAAAGGGCCTGTGGAAATTTCTGATCTCCCAGCAGTCCTGTGTTTAAACAGCCACACTCCCCCTTCCCCAGGTGCTGTGCTCCCCGCGTGAGGGCAAGGGATGTTGTGTCAGCGGGAATCTGATGCATGCATTACATTACCACATCTGTTTCCTTCAAGAGAGGTTGCATTTCTCTTGGGACTGGAGGCTGGGGGCCTCAGCCCAGGTGCCGAGGGGCCACCAGAAGACATGGGGCTGGTGCGGGGACCACCAGCCGTGGCAGCAGGACCTCCCCCAAGGTGGCTGTCTCCAGAGTTCTGCCTCTTGCAGTACAGCGAGGAGGAGGGGAGCAAGGAGCCCCTGTGGTTAAAGGTGGAGGCGGAGGGGTCCATACCGTAGCGGTTCATGCCCACAGGGTTCACCAGGTACTCTTCAGTGGTGACTGTCTTGGCTAAGCAAAAAGACAGTACAGAGAAGCAGATATCAGAGAGCAGTTCAGGAAGCTACCAGACCATCCGTCTTGGCAAACCCTGCCCTGCCAACACAGTCCCCAGTATCTGTGAGGATGGAGAGAGGAGAAATTAATCCCACAACATAATTCCAAATAGCATACCTGTCAGCAGGCTGAGAGCTGCCTCGCCCACAGGAGCATATTGTATTAGGAATTAGGAGGTGTGCTCCTCCATGCTTAGAGGAAAATTGATATTTTGGCCATTGATGACTTAAGAATAAGCCCAAATCGGGCCAGGTATGGTGGCTCCCACCTGTAATCCCTAAACTTTGGGAGGCCGAGGCAGGTGGATCACCTGAGGTTAGGAGTTCAAGACCAGTCTGGCCAACATGATGAAACTCTGTCTCTATTAAAAATACAAAAATTTAGCCAGATATGGTGGCAGGCACCTGTAATCCCAGCTACTCGGGAGGCTGAGGCAGGAGAATCGCTTGAACCTGGGAGGCGGAGCTTGCAGAGCAAAACTCTACCTCAAAAAAAGAAAAAAGAAAAGAATAAGCCCAGATCAAAGACCTTCTTCCACAGTAGCTCTGCCCTCACAGTCTCTGCTGGCTTCTCAGAATCTCCCTGTACTCCCTGCTCTTGCTCGCCCACCAGCACAGCCCCCCTCAACTGGCGCAGGACTCCTGGGAGAGATCAAGCAAGAGTCACAATGTTTCAGAGTCAGGAGAGACGACTGTGTGGCCTGGGTGGTGGCCCAGGTGCCACGGTACTTTCTCCCCATACCTTTCGTCCTGATACACGAGGGCGGCTGTCCTCCTCCACGGCTAATAAGCAGCGACGCAAGTGTCGATCTGGACAGCCCCTCAATCCTCCCCAAGCCCTTCACAGGAGTGCTAAAGAGCCAAGCTAGAGTGCAGTGGGGGAGAGGACTTAGAAAGTCTGCCAACCTCATCATCAGTGCCTCTTAGGTAAACCAGGACTTACCGTATTTTGTTTTTGTTTTTGTTTTTTGAGATGGAGTTTCAATCAATCAGTCTGTCACCCAGGCTGGAGTGCAGTGGTGCGATCTCAGCTCACTGTAACCAGCACCTCTCGGGTTTAAGTGATTTTCCTGCTTCAGACTCCCAAGAGTAGCTGGAACCACCATGCCTGGCTAATTTTTATATTTTTAGTAGAGATGGGGTTTCACCATTTTGGCCAGGCTGGTCTCGAACTCCTGACCTCAAGTGATCCGTCTGCCTCGGCCTCCCAAAATGCTGGGATTACAGTCCTATACTTTTAAATCTCATCACTGAGCCTGTTGAACTCCCTGTGAGCTATACCTGTGGCCGAATGGTGGGTTTTTTGTTTGTTTTATTATTTTTACACGGAGTTTTTTTTTGGGGGGTGGGGGAAATCCAGAGAAATTATGGTGATAGAAAGAAGGAAACTATTCTAGTCCCTCCCACCAGGACAAGATCATGTCTACCTATCCCCAGCAATAATTATCTGTATATTAGACACCATCAAAACAGAATTTGGTATGCCCAAAGAAAATGCAATCAGCAAGAAAACAAAACAAAACAACAGCAACAAAAACCAATGGATCCTCCATGATTGGCAATGAAAAACAAACTTGAGGCCACAAGATCAGATGCCTTCTCCATGCATGGATTCTTCCATAATGTAGGTATTGAAGATTAAGACTTGATTTTATTAGGGGAGCTAGCAGATCTTCTCCTAGTTGGGGATGGATGTGGAGCTTGACTGGATAAAAGTCTTTGCAGATGGGATACAGCTAAAGTAGTGGTTAGAGGTAAATTTAGAGCTGTAAATACTTCTGTTAAAGGAAGAAAGATCTCAAATGAATAGCCTAATCTATCATAAGACACTGGAAAAAAAAACTTAAAGCAAAGAAGGAAATAAAGATTTGAGCAAAAATTAATTCAATGGAGAATTTTAAAAAACAATAGAAGAAATCCATAAAACCAAAAGCTCGTTCTTTGGAAAAAGAATCCACAAAATTGCAAGCCTTTAGCTAGATTGACAAAAAATAAAAATAAAAAATAAAGAAGGAAAGAGAGAGGATTCAAATTACTAGAATCATAAATGAAAACCTGAAATTACTACCAACCTTACAGAAATTGAAAAAGATTAAGAAATACAGATGGATGCTCTTTGCTTACAATAGGGTTATATCCCAACAAATTTATCATAAGTTAAAAATATCATAAGTTGAAAATGCATTTAGCATACCTAATCTACCACACATTATAGCTTAGCCTAGCTGACCTCAAACATGCTCAGAACACTTACATTAGCCCACAGTTGGACAAAATCATCTAACACAAAGCCAATTTTACGATAAAGTATTGAATATCTCATGTAATTTACTGAATACTTACTGAAAGTGAAAAACAGAATTGTTGTATAGATACTTGAAGTATGGTTTTCACTGAATGTGTATCACTTTCACACCATCGTAAAGTGAAAAAATCATTAAGTTAAATCATCTTAAGTAGGGAACCATCTGTTCTATAAACAATTTTATGCCAGTAAATTAGATAACTTAGATAAAATGAACAAACCACTAAAACTGACTCAAGAAGAAAAAGACAATCTGAGTAGACCTGTAAGAAGTAAAAGGATTGAATTAGTAATCAGAAAACTACCTACAAAGAAAGCCCAAGCCTGGATAACTTCATGGTTGAATTCTACCAAACATTTAAAGAAAAAATAATACTAATTCTTTACAAATTCTTCCAGGAAATAGAAGGGGGTGAAATACTTCACGACTTCTATGGCAAATACTTCTACGAAGACAGGATTACCCTTATACCAAAACCAGACAGACACATCATAAGAAAACTACAGACCAATATCTGTTATTCATATGAATGCAGAAATCCTCAACAAAAAACTGGCAAAACTGAACCCGGCAATGTATGAAAAGATATATACACCATGACCAACTAGGATTTATCCCAGGAATGCAAGCCTGATTTAACATTCAAAAATCAATTAATGTAATACACCATATGGATAGAATAATAAAACGGAGATCACACAATCATCTTAACAGATGCAGAAAACATTTGACAAAATCCAATACGCTTTTATGATAAAATCACTCAACAAACTAGGGACAGAAGGGAATTTCCTCAATCCGACAAAGGGTATCTGCAAAAAACCTATAGGTAACATTGTGGCTAATGGTCAAAGACTGGGTGCTGTCCCCCAAGATCAGGAATAAAAAGAGACAGTCCATTCCAGCTACTTCTATTAACATTGTACTAGAGGTTCCAGCCAGCGCAGTTAGGTTAAGGAAAAGAAAAGTCATCTAGATTAGGAAGGAAGAAGTAAAACTATCTCTGATGTGTACGAAATCTTAAGGAATCCACTTAAAACACTGTTGGAACTAATTAATAGTTCAGCAAGGTTGAAGGATACAAGATCAATGTGCAAAAATCAATTGTATTTCTACACATTTGCAATTAACAATTAGAAAATAAAATTGAGAATAATTCCATTTATAATAGTATGAAAAAGAATAAAATAAAATACTAAGGAATAACTTTAATAAAAGTTCAAACAAACTCTGAAAACTACAAAACATTGTTGAAAGAAATTAAAGAAGATATAACTAAATGGAAAAAAAAATCTCATGTTCATAGATCAGAAGGCTTATTTTCAGGGTGGCAATTCCCCTCAAATTGATCTACAGATTCAGCACAATCCCTGTCAGAATCTTCACTGATTTCTCTGTAGAAAATAACAAGCTAATTCCAGAACTCATATGGAATTGCAAGGGACACAGAATAGCCAAAGCCATCATGAAAAACAAAAACAAAGTAGAAGGCTCACACTTCCTGATTCCAAATTTAGTACAAAGCAACAATAATCAAGACAATGTGGGAGCTCATCATGTTAAATGAAATAAGCCAGGCACAGAAAGACAAATATCACATGTTCTCACCGATATGTGGGAGCTAAAAAAGTGGATCTCATGAAGATAGGGAGTAGATTGGTGGTTACCAGAGGCCAGGAAGGGCAGAGGTCAGTGGGGATGAAGAGAAGTTGATTAAAGGTACAAATATATGGTTTTATAGAAGAAATAAGACCTAGAGTTTGAGAAATCACTTGAATGACTATAGTTTACAACAATCTATTAAACATTTCAAAATAGCTAGAAGAGAATAATTCAAATGGTTATACCATAAAGACAAATATTTAAGGCGATGGATGTCCCAGTACACTAATTTGATCTTTACAAATTATATGAATGTATCAAATGATCACATGTACCCTAAAATTACATACATCTATTATGCATTGATTTAAAAAATTGTTTTTAAAAAATAAAACCAATGCCATTGGAGAGGGAAAAAAGACAGTGTGGTTCTGGCATTTGGATAGGTATACAGATGAATGAAATAGAATTCAGAGTCCAAAAACAAATCCATGTGTATATGTTCAGCTGATTTCCACAAGGGTGCCAAGACCATTCAATGGAAGAAAGAAGTCTTTTCAGCAAATGGTGCTAGGACAACTGGATATCCACATGTAAAAGACTAAAGCAAAACCCTTACTCACCATATATAAAAATTAACTCAAAATGAATAAAAAACATAAATTTAAGAGCAAAAACTATAAAACTCTTAGAAAGAAACGGGTAAATCTTTGTGACCTTGGATTTGGCAAAATATTCTTAGATTTGACACCAAAAGCACAAGCAATAAAATAATAAAATAAAATAAATTAGACTTCATCAAAATTAAAAACTTTTGCACTTTTGCACTGGGCACGGTGGATCATGCCTGTAATCCCAGCACTTTGGGAGGCAGAGGTGGGTGGATCACATGAAGAGTTCGACACCAGCTTGGCCAACATAGTGAAACCCCCTCTCTACTAAAAATACAAAAATTAGCTGGGCGTGGTGATGCGAGCCTGTAATCCCAGCTACTTGGGAGGCTGAGGCATGAGAATTGTTTGAACCTGGGGGGCAGAGGTTACAGTGA